TTGTCAGGTTCCCCGTTAAAATTCATAGCCATATCTACCGGTCCAACGGTGGACCCTCAAGACCTAGTCGGATCGGCGCCTACGCAAGCAGCAATCATGGCGTTCACCAAGGCGCGCGAGCCTCTAAAACTTAATCAGTGGGTGACGGTCATGGCCCGGTGTCTGCTGGACGTCTTTCATGGAACTTCGGCTTTGAAACTTGCTTGAAATCAGGCGCCGGCGGGGACAGGCTTGTGTGCTCACAAAGCTGCCAAGGCAAAAAAATGCCACGCTCCCACACCTTGACTCGTGAGCCTTTTGACGTGAAAACCATCTTGCCGGCGACAAGGTAGGCGCCGCGTGGCAAACCGTTGGCGGACCCGAGGGTGAGAAGCGAGCGCTCATCCCAGCACAGGACTACCTCGCATGCACGATGGCCCCACCTGACAAGGGACTGGCCAGCACTCCAAAAGTTGGCAAATTGCTCAAAGTTCCGACCCAGCGCACGTGATGGTACTTGGGTGTGGCTAAAAATTGAAGAGCTAGGGTTACGCAGGTTTTAGTCTTTCCTTTTACCAAGGTCATATTTTGGTACATTTAAGTGGTTCATTCACAGCCCTTCGAGTGCAACTTGACAGCCCTTGGAAGGTGCCGGGGCACGTGTATATTCTCGCACCGATCGCCATAAGAACGCTGAAGCTTAATGGAACAAATCATAATCCATTTCCATGCAATCGCTCGCCTCCTCGTACTCTTTCTTGCTCTTCACCATGGTCAGGAAAGTTGGCTCCTGAGAGCAGGCAATTGGCCTAGGGCCTAGGGTCTAGCCCTCTCGATGTTTTATGTTGTTGGGCTCTACAAACATCCACTAACACAAGACTGGCAGAATCCAAGCCTTAATCATCCCCAAAACAGCCAATGCATTGGCTCTACACAAGCGATTGGGCCATGCCTGCGCCAGCAAAGAGCCCCCCAGCCACGCCGCGTATCTCCTCGAGGCAAACGGGTCGACTGTGTTTTTGAGAAGCTACCTACATTGAAAACGGCAACTTCAAAACTAATGTTGGTCGAACAAAGAAGTGGGGACTGGTACTCCCAAAACATTCACACATCCCTGCTTTCTCTAGTCAAGTGTCTGTGTGCTTCTGATCACTGAGTCAGATTGACTGCCTGACATATTGAATTACCTGCTGCTCAAAACTTTCAAAAGCCTTGAAACATGGCGAGACACAAACGAGTTGGCACCAGGCAGCATTGCCTCTGAGGCTTGTGTTCCAAGAAAGCACTTACATTTTCTTGCTGCCAACAGCCAACAGCAGCAGTTAAGACATGCGCTCGCGCACGCCATGCATGTTTCGACTCACAAGCTTCACCACATTGCTCAAGGCTTTCCTTCGCTGTCGCTCGCATCCTCTCTTGATTGCATTTTGCCTCACATTGGCAAAGTAGACATTGCGACCCAGCAAAGCTGGCTTTCAAGCATCATGACTGTCCCTCATCCAAGACCTGGTGGCGTGGGTCTGCTGGACCACTTTGGGCAAGCTTGTAGCTCTGAGTAGTCACTGTTCGCCAAGGGGCTGTCCAAGAGAGTTGAAAACTGTGATGTCGCTTTGGACCCAAACCCAGGAGTCCAAGTATACTTCGTTATATCACAGGAAAGGCCCCCATGTAGCACACTGATTGGCCTTAAAGGTGAAATATGGTTTAAACCCTGCCCAAGCCATGGTCTTGTGTTGTTTCTATCGAGCCCATGGTTGTTCAAAAGGTGCAATTATAGCTCCAATCCGAAGCAAGTTGAACGAACATACCCCAAACATGCTTTCCTTTTACACCTTGGTTCACCATTCAAACTTTGGTCCACTTCCAAAGGTGAAGTGGGTTCAGAGGCCCGCACTGCTGCTTCCGCTGCTTGCTGCCATGGACGCAGACCTGGCAACATGAGCCGGTCTCGAAATGGGCCGCGAAAGGGCCCCTCCGAAATCAAAGGGAGAATCCAACACAGCCTACAAGCATGAACCACGCGGCGGACTCTTTAGGAGCCTTTTTGATTTGCCGTAAATCAAGAATACAGGGAACAACCACAAAAAACCCTGGTTCGTCTTAATTCGCTGTGTGGCCTTTGGGTTGCCATCGTGGAATGTATCAAAACTGGGTACTCAACAGAAAACCACAAGTCAACCAAAGGAAACCCAAAAACCAGAAGGACAGCCAGGGAAAGCAAAGCAAACCAAAGTAATTAAACCAAAAGGACACCAAAAGAAAACAAAAGCCTTCCTGGTTTTGGGGGACATTCAACCCACAGAACTCGGAGAATACAAAAACTGGCCCGCCTCAATGTCCTGGGGCCGGCGCCCCGTGCTGAGCTCGGCCTCACATCCCAGGAAAAAGTTACCGAAGTGGATCGAGAGGTTTTTGCTGGGCGTTTAAAGGGAAACCGAAACGGACACCAAGCATTGAATAGTTAGGCTTGTCTTCCGTGATTTTCTGCAAAAAAAAAGCGTCCCATAGACTACTGGAATTGTGGACCAAAACTCCCATAAACCGAGGCTCATAATGGCGTGCAGCATGGATATGGGAGCGTCGCCGAAAACTAGTGTGTAAAGACGGTCCTATGAGCTTGCTTTCACGGGTCCTTTCGAGATGCTTTCGCGACCACATGTTTTCAATTCGCAGCCCGCATTTCATTTTAGCTTTCGCGAGGGCTCCCCTCTGTACTACTAGGGTTTACCGCGCTGCTCATGTGTCAAAAAAGAGTAGTGGCCTTTATTCTGGTGCGCCTTCAAACCTGCAAAAAGTGCACCCTACGACGCGCACGCACATGCACATGCACACGCACACGGACACACACACACACACACACACACGGCACACACACGCACACACACACACACACACACGCCACACACACACACACTGCAGAAACACTGCACACACACACACACACCACACACACACACACACACAAACACACTGGACACACACACACAACACACACACACTGCACAGTCACACGCCGCGACCACAAACACACACACACACACACACACGACACACAAACACACACACACACAGACACAGACACAGACACAGACACAGACACAAACACACACACACACAAACACACACACACACACACACAAAACACACACAAACGCACACCGCACCCACCCACCCACACACAGACCACACGCACCAAACACACCACACACACAACACACACACACACAAACAAACAAACAAACAAACACACAAACAAACAAACAAACAAACAAACAAACAAACAAACAAACAAACAAACACACACACACACACATGCACACAGACACACACAACACAACACAACACAACACAACACAACGCAACGCAACACAACACACACACACACACAACACAACCCAACGCAACGCAACACAACACACACACAACACACACAACACACACACACAAACAGACACACACGCACAACACAACACAACACAACACACCACAGCACAACACAACGCAACACAACGCAACGCAACGCAACACAACACAACACAACACAACACTCACACACACAAACAAAACACACACAACACAACACACACACACACACAACACATACACACCACACACACACACACACACAACACAACACAACACAACACAGCACAACACAACGCAACGCAACACAACGCAACACAACGCAACACAACACAACACTCACACACACAAAACACACACAACACAACACACACACAAACACCACACACACGCAAACACACACACACACATACACCACACACCACACGCACGCACACAATCAATTGGGGTAGACATGAGATCCGCACAAATTCCTGAGCAATATATTCTTGTGTTGGTAGATTCGCGGTCTTATTGTGATACGTATAGAGCCCATAGCATCCTGTAGCATAGTTGGCTCACGACCATCCTGGTGCAACACAAGCAACAGGCGCCTAGGCAAATGACAGGCCAATGGTCTAGACAAGCCAAAGCCCCAGGAAAAGAGCTACAAGGCTGTGGGTCAAAAATATGAACCCAAATGGAATCCTGGTAAATGGACACTTGGACTACAACCTGCGGTCCGATTCCTGGTGGTTTCATTTCAACCCACAGCCACATGAAGGAGCTCGAGGCGCAAGTGTGCCCAAGCAGGCGTAGCCCTCCCAACATCTCCCAACAGACCCATCTGCGCCCCACCGGGCCTTTTGAAGCCGCTCATTCACGATCTGCTGCACGTCATGCTGTAGGCGCTCCTCGCACGAGTCGCGAGTAGGCCGGTGAGGTTGTCATGAACTTATTCATCAAAAATTGGAGGCTCCTTGAAGTGCTGAAAAGCAGTGGAGCCGCCAGACAGCACAATGTTGCTGTACAGCCTCGAGCGCATTGTTACTGACTCGAGGCTCCATTCAACGACGTGCAAACTTAGGCTCCTCGCTTTCTCCGGTAATCGATTGGGCACTGCGAGATAGCATTGTCCACAACCTGGGTCTGTCTCACACACAGAACCTTGAAACTGGGAGGTGTTCTTTTGGCGTCCCTTGTTGACAACCATTCAACATTGTACTTCTCCAAGAAAAAACAAGCGACCCACCTCACCTAAATTGCATCACTTGGATTCCGCTGCCCGAGTCCAAACAGACATCAAAAGTTAAGCGCGCCTGCGGCAAAGGAGTGGTCATTGACTCCACAAAGATCTCTGGGTGAAAGAAGATCTGCCAGTAGCCGGACACCATGTTGCATGTCTGTAAAGCTATGGTCAAATAGGTCCTCCAGTGGAGAGGTTCGAATAAGGGTACCCTTTTTTCTGTAGTCTATTTTAGTAGGGGAACCCTCTCCCAACAAAGGGCAAAAGGGCACTACTGGGGGACCTAGTCAATATTTAGTGCCCAGGTGACATTGGATGTTGGCGACTAACCCCCATTTCCTAGTTGCAATTTGGTGTGTGCCCAATATCATCCCTAGAGTTGCTCAAATAAGCCACGCCCTCAGCGCAAGGCGGACAAGCTGCATACATGTATGCGCGTCATGTCTCACGACGTGTGTGTCTCTGTGTCTGTGTCTCTGTGCGCTTGCGTTTACGTGTCTCCCTGTCTGCGCACATGAGTGCTTGCTCATTCCAAAACGGAGCATTGTCTACCGCCTCAGGGGCTAGGAAGCGCTCGTAGCCGATTTGAATTGTCCACTCCTGTCGACTTCAAAGGCGACAGTGCCTGAAGCAAAAACTTCCAATGGAAAGGTCAGGGACCCCCACTCTTCACAAATCACACCTCCATAAAACTCCCGACTTACCCCAGTTGATGGTGAAACCAACCAAACGGTTGGACATCTGGAAAACTGATGGCTTTGGGTCTGACGGTCTGACGGATCGGTGCAATGCCGCCCGCGTCCTCCTTGGTTTTGGGGTACACGTTCGACAGTGTCTTGAACTTCCGCGGATCCTCAGCCAGCGTATCCCTTCGAAGGAAACTGTTCGAGGGGCTTTTCGAGCCCAAGCCAAAAGGGAACATGGAGATCAACAAAACAGGTTTGGGGGGTGAAACATCACGGTCTGGGGAGCATCCCCAGTAAGCTGGGGAGAGAGCCATGTGAGAGTCTCGGTATAGGGACCTGATGCCAGGTTCTTCAGGGTGCTCGGGCCCAAAGCGTGCTTGGGGTTCTTATAAAAACTAGAGCTTTTACCTCTGTAGGGGTATGGCAACTAGGCGGTTCACTTCCTTCCTTTTGTTTGATTATGATGATGATTGTTTGTGTACTGAAATATATATATATATATATATCATGATTATCATAGTTCTTAGAATTGGTGTTAGTATTATCATCGATATTCCTAAAGCATAACCTCAAAATGATTTTCCTGTTGGTTTCTTTTCACTCCACCCCAATCCAAAAGAACGCGCCACCCCCATCTCTCTAGGGGTTGATTCCTTGTCCATTCTTCTCAACCATCGTTCTTTCCAACTGGATCCGCTTTCCCTGGGTTTCCGGAGGTTTTGTAGAAAGATTCGGATCCCTGGGTTCAGAATGGAATTGGAAGGTACCCCTAGACTCCCCCTCAAACGCCCTCCCCGCAAAGCGCAGGACCTGATCAAACTTCTGGTATTCTTCCACCTGGCGATCGAGCGGTACTCAGTTGTTCAGCGACGGAACCCTTTTTTGGGAAGACCCTTTTTAGTGGGGCAGCCACCCAAGAAAAGATGGAAAAACAGCGCCACTGAACAACTGAGGGTGCCTCAGGAAGTTGGCGCAAGGCTGGACCAGTTTTTGGTGGAGGGACCTCAGAGTCCTTTCACACCCGTGGGACAAGGATGGCATGGAAGATTCCGTTCAGGTAGGCCACACATGTTGTGTCCAACGAGGGAGGCAGCGAACAGAAGGCCAGAAAGGAAAACGAGGCCTGGTATCCTACTGGGTTGCCTTCAAACCAAAAGGTGGTTCCCCCCCAAAAAGCCACACCCCAACATGCCTGCAACTCGGCCGCACCAAAACTCATGCCAAAGCTGCCACATCGCGGCACAGATAGGCATGCTTCTCCTGGCTGAAGGGTTATGCAATGGAAGAAGACAGTCTTCAAAAGCAAAATCATAATTGATTTGTTAACTTCAATCCATCCCCTTCGGACTGTGTAATCAAAGGTGCTTCCCCTAGTAAGGAACTTACCTCTTGAGTGAAGCCCATGGGTTTGGCTCGAAAAGGAAAACAAAGGACGGGAGCCCGGACAAAGGCGTGGTGAATCCAAAACCAAACCTGGAGGGACATGCGAATGGATCACTCTTTCCTTCAAAACCCAACCTGAGCCAAACTTTTAGAACCAAACCCGAGAGCTTTCAAACCCAATCTTTGGGTCGGGTCTCCTCTTGCAAACCAAAAGGGCTCGGAGTTGGTTCAACCTCTCCTTGATTTGCCGCGCCGCTTCCATTCTCTGCTCGGCAGGCACCGGCCTGCCGCTCGAGCGGGTTCTCGAGAAGGGCTCGAATCGGACCAGATCGATCAGCTGAAGGTGGACCCCGGAGTCATCCACCCCAGTCTTTTTTGGTGGGTGTTCCAAAAGTTTGTGGTGGGTGTACCATGTAGACCACCAATCAATGTGGAACCCCAGTCTTTTTTGGTGGGTGTTCCATGGTGTTCCAAAAGTGGTCTTCCCCGCATTTCACCCAAAAACAGCCCCCGAGTAATAACAGGAGGCTTATTCATCCGAGGTCAACATTTCTCTAAGATGCCGGCTCTCCTCTGTCGCAAATCCTAAGTTGCATGGTGCGCAAATCACTTACATAATTTCTTGAAACTTCGATGTTCAAGTTTTCCCTGATGAGACACCACAGTTCCGATATTTTCCTGCATTCTAAACCTGTGATGCTTTCAACTGCAAACATACCACATGAATTTGTCTCAACATGAAATTTTGTCCTTGGCAGATTAGAGGCAACCTGATCGCAGAAGCCTGCACTTCAAATCAACAAGCAAAGCGCCGGGCATGTCATGCACAAACTGCGTCACGTGCTTCCCCGCCATGTGAAGCTCCTCCAGCGTTCATTGGCCGAGCTCCCACTATTCGATGAGAAAAACGAAGACCTCCCACCCCTAGAACCTGCCTAGAAGGGTTCGGAGGTCCTGCCTGTGAAGAGAGGCAGTGATGAGGCCCAACTTTTTCTCAAGCGGATGTCATGTTAGGGCTTGCAGTGCCCAAAGGCCTGCCGATTGCCATTAGCACGTGGCCACGTCCCCGGGAGGCTGAACCACCCAGCGTCGTGCACGCCAAGTTGCTTTAAAGTGGAACGCGGTGCGAGCGACGCGAGACGCGCGGCTCCGCACACAGATTGATTGAGAAAGTAGTTAAAAGAGCCCCAGCAACCAAGGACTGCTGGCCATGTTCAAAGGCCCAAGTGTCCAATCGCTTCAGGGGATTGAAGATGGGCAACAGCAGTCATTGGATGCTGGAGACGGCCATTTCCAGGCAGCGGTTCTTGCCATCTGTGCAGAATCGGCTTTTCAAGCCGATCAAGTGCAGAAGCAGTCTGCTCAAGAAGGCCGGCGCCCTTTTGTCACCAGCAATTGAAACAGCGGATCTGCACCAATGCGAAGGTAAGCGATACGGAACCATAAACATAGCAGCTATAGCAATCGCAACAAAGCTTGTTCTTCTTCTGGGCTCCCTGTATTTCCCGTTGAACATCACCCCACCACAAGGAACTCACATATAAACTGATGTCACCACCAAAAGGGGAAATATAGGGAACCCGACTCTTTGGAAAAAGCGTTCCCTCAGGCTGGTGCGTGCAGGATCAGAGGATCCAGCGACTTCAGTGGTGGTGCAGCTTCGTATGTACCAGCTCTTCCAGGGACTGTGCGACGTCTTTGGCATCCCCAAGAAGCATGTCTGTATGGTCCTCGCCGAAACCGCACCCGTCCAACTGCCGGCTTCAAAACTTTTGGGGGATCAAGCGGTGTCCAAAAAGCAAACTCCTCACTGGGAACTGGCAAGCGCAAGTACATCAGGGCTCAAGGCACAGCCAATTTCTTGGACATGCAGTCAGCATGCAATGAACGGCCTGTTTACAACGGTGAAACTGCACCTTGAAAGTTTTGGAAAACCCTTAGCTCTTGAGGGCGCCAAAGAACTCAAACTTGCTTGGTAATGAGCGCGTCCTTGTAGAAAACAGGGTTGTCCAGCGCCGCGTAGCCAACTCCGAGCGATCGCTTGACGACGATGCACTTCTTGGCGAGCCACACACCTCAAGCGGCAGAAACCAGCGGCTCGTGCCGAGATGTGGCTGAATCACTTTTTTTGCATCTTGATACAGTCGTTGGACGCCCATTGGCTACATCAAAAGTATCGGTTTGCCATGCTGCGGATTGGTCCCAAGTGCCTCACTCTCCAGTTGCTTTTGCCTACCACGACTCCCACATTGGCCGAGGGTATCCTGGATCGATTTTCTCTTGGGCCCGGGGCGCCCTGATTACTTCACCTGCTGGAGCCTACGTGCCTTGGTTCATGCGCGCATAAGGGCATGAGACGTCACAGCATCTGGGTGTGTACCCGAACTTCAACCAGCTAGCAATTTGGGACCCCCTGTTTGGCCACACGCGAAACAAAATGGGTCTCGAGCTAGGGGACGCCCCAAACAGGTTGTCCTTTCAACTTCCCCTTAAAACAAGCCCAAAAGGGCACCTGTTGCCGCAACAGACATCTTCTTCCAATCCCCCCCTTCTTTTCAATCATCGTTCTTTTCACACACCAGTCGTTTTCACTGGGTTTCTTGAGGGTTTCTACAGGGATCCTTACATTATACACCTGAACATTGCAACTTGTAAATGGTGGTTTCCCTTCATTTTGGTGTGGAAAAAGCAAACAACATGTTTCAACTGGTTGCAACATGGAGATCTTTTAACCAATTTAAGGAGTTCTAGAAAGATTCGTTCGGATCCCTAAGATCCGGATCCCTGGGTTCAGCCACCGGAAATGGAAGGCAAGGTGCGGATCACCGGCATCCCTGCGATGGCGCTGCTGGGGTCTTCCTCGGCCAAGGAGTTCACCTCAGGCAGGCGGCTAGGGAATGAACCCAGGGCTTCCCCTGAAAAATGTGGGGGGACCGCATTTTTAGTTCTTTTTGTTGGCGGTTAGTAACTTCCACTTACCATTTTGGGAACCCAGTTTTGGTGTTACCCTTTTGTGGCTGGTCAGTGGGGAATGCAATCTGCCTCGCAAGTGCCCATGAGGTTGTACCCCAGAAATGAAATGCAGACGTGGCTGAATCACCTGTTTTTTTTTGCATCTTGACAGGTCCTCCAGCACAGAGGTTAGAATAAGGCTACCAACTTTTTTCTGTAGTCTATTTCAGTAGGGGAACCCTCCCCCAAAAAAGGGAAAAAGGGCATTACTGAGGGACCTACGGTAGGGAATGTGAACTCGAATGAACCCATCCCCTTAAAGGAAACTATAGGAGATGGTTTTTTGGGGCCGGTCATTCCATTTCTCCTTCCCTGCGAGAACGCAGCTCGAAAATGGGCACCTGACCAACATGCTGGGATGTTCTCAACTTTGGGCGTCTCTGGAGAAGCCAAGGTCAAACTGGTACCCAGAAGAAGCCACACCATAGGAATGGGTCCGTGAAATGGCAACGGTGTCCTTTTGGCTTCCATTGAAATACCAACTAAACGGGGGTCAAATGATTCACTCATGTGAGAAACCCTCATATGTTTTTTTTTGGGGGGGAGTCCATGTTGTCTTGAGGAAAAAAACAAGGACCACCCACGATTTTCAGGGTCCCTTGACAACGGGATATGTTATCCTTCTGCTTCCCTTCGGCTTCCTTTAGCCGTTTCAACAAGACGGCACACGGACAAAACATAACAGACTTCCTTTGCGGGGATGGCTGCAGCTGAATCAATTCACCATGCACACAGCCCCGGCTTGAGCGACTTTTCGCTCACCGAACTCCCAGCTTGAGAACTGACCTGACGATCAAAACCGAATGGCGAAGGCATGGGTTCAACTGGATGCTACGAACCTCGACTGATGCGAGCCAACGGAACTTGGCTTTGAGAACCAATTTGAGGCTAGGCCCCGAAATGGCATTTACGACCTCAAGATTGAATGCATCAAGATACAATGGGCGTTCGCATGCCTTGTCAACCAAGAGCCTTTTGCAATCTCGATGCCCACCTACCATAGCAACTGCCCAAAAGCTCACAAGTTGTTCACAAGTCTCACAAGTGAAGGCAGTCTAGCCGCAAGACACATTTTCTTGGTTTCGAGTTGCGCTGGTACGATTCCCAAGAAAGCCCTACCGTTCGCAAGGTGGGGGGGGGGTCTAACAAACCTCCGAGCCACAATCAAATCTCCTCTGACCAGCAGGGCTCCCAATTATGTTCCCCTTAAACGTCACCCCACTTGAGGGGGAAAGCTTGAGTTAGATCACTAGAATGGGGATTCGAGGTACTCAAGAACGATCCTCATCTTTGTTCTTCTGAACTGGGAATTATTGCTTCCCAAGTGGACGGCCAACAAGAGTGTTTTCTGTTTGCCTCTGAAATGGAATTGGCGTCCCAGAAAAAAATAGCAAATGTCAACTCCAGAGACTCGGGGAGCGAGATGTCCACCTGGGGCCCCATCGGCTTTTACCATAAGAACCACCCCCGGTGGGTTGGTTCAAGGCAGTCACATCACCAGACTTTGATAAACCCTGGAACCCTTCAAACTAATGAACAAGGGTGGGTTCCATCCCCATGAATGAATGTGCGCCAAGTGAGAACAAAATTCTGTAGGGAAGCATTGGTGCTTGTATTCGCCCGCATTGCTTGGTGTGTGGGTGTGTGCTTTTACCCTCACCAACTAACGTGGAAGTGCAAAACGGCCCTCTCCAAGAGGAAAATAGTCTTTCTACAAAGATCTGTGCACCAAACCATGTTCGCTGGAGGGTAAGTGGTTGCAAGGCCACGGTTTTTCCTTTCCCTGCTCCCTCCGGCTCCCTTCCCGTTTGATCAAACCCGAGGTGCCGTGTCGTTGGCGCCCACCACCAAGGACACATCCACGTCGTCCCAGTCCGAAGGCTCGTTCAGCTCCTCCATCTCCTTCACCTGCCGAGCCCCGGGCCGCAGGGCAGCTCGCAGCTCGGTGGCGAAATCTGCGAAGCCCTGCTAAAAGTGACCAACTGTTAGTGGTATAATGGGGGAAAACCATTAGTTGGGCAAAAGCTAGTCCTAACATCCCTTGGCAAAATGCACCAAAGCCAGGATCTATGGGCATGTTCAACGGGTGTGTTCTTTAGGGAGACCTTTTTGGTTGGTGTTTCGGGGAGACCGGAAAGGAAAACCATGATTTCTGTGGTTCCCATGTTGAGAGACAAGCCCTGGTATTTGTATGTGTCGCATGCTCCTGTGTTCGGGTGTGAGACGCTCCTTAGGAGGAAGAAAACAACAAGCCCTGGTATTTGTAGATGATGGCGGCAAGCTGCCACCCAACATGGCTTCAGTGTTGCGGGAGAAGCATTTTAGGGTGAGCATCTGAGGATTCTTGGAGGGATAACTTTTTTCTACCACGCAAACGATGCAGCTTTGACACCTGTTGGGTGACCGATTCGGTCACATTCTGACAGGAAAGTCCATCGACTTTCGCGAACCCTTTCGTGGATGTGCGCCAAACATTACTGACAACTCGCCTAGTAAGTTGTGCTCAACTGGACCGAAAAGCCTCAAAACTCCAACAAGCTGCTTTTGGCTCGGGTTTGCATTTGCGAACACGTATTCTTGCGGCAATCCTCAGGCCGTGCTTTCCGCTGACCAACTTTGGTCTGTCTGCATTCAACGCACACTGCCAGCAAATACACATGGTTCCTCGGCGCATCCTTCGCGACCTCCGCCAAGCAATCGCAAAGGGCTAAGACCGAAAGGCCTTGCCCTTCTCAATACAGGGACCTTGCAAACCACCCTCCTGTGTCAAAATAGTCGCTTTCCCCCCAAAATGGTGGTCTTTCCTTCTGGCTTCCCTTTAAAGCATCCAACCAGCGTACCCTGAAAACCCC